ACCATGGGTGCAAGGCAGTAAACATAAATTCCTCCAAAGGTTGCAGAAGAGTTGAACAGAGTGGCAAACTATCAGTTTATATAATGTCAAACTCCCCAAGAGTTCATCCTCTTTCCAGATATGCATGGCTAGGATTGAACTATCCTTTTTATCAGTTAAAAAGGATAGCTTAAATGAAAACAATATTTCTTACTGTGACTGCCAGTACACCAGTTATTCCTCTACTACCAACCCATGCTGTGACTCTCTTTCTCCCTCACTCACACATAAGTTTATGGGACATGTTCCCTATGTTAAGTCACTGCCTATGTTAAGATTGTTTTTCCAATTCTGGATCCACACGTCCTTCCACAGTGGGGACAGAGGTTTCCGAGTGGGAGTTCATCATGGTGAGGGTTTGCCAAATGTGCCTTCCTCTTACCTCGTTTCTCCCTTTCGTCCTGAGTTCAAGTGTCTTCAAAGTCCACGACACCTTTGGTAAAGACTGTACTCCAACTGGAGCACTCGCAGGCCAGTGTTTCCCAATTGTTGGTGTTTATACTGCATTTTTTAAGATTTGCCTTGAGAGAGTCTTTTCTTGACCACCAGCATTATGCTTTCTATTTTTAAGTTTGTAATAGAGTAGTTGCTTTGGAAGACAATAATCAGGGGAAGTGGCCCCTTTGCTTCTGTGAGTGGCTACTGAATTCTGTAGAGCCAAGATGTTGTGGAATCCAGTGTGGAAGTTGATACATAAAAATTCAGCAAACAGCTTTTTGGTTTTACATTCAGCCATGATTGGCTAAAAGTGTACCCTCTATGTGATGCATTTTATTTAGAGTATTTAGTTCCTTTTTAGGGCTGTGCGCTCACAAAAGAACCTACAAGCAAGAGCAAGAACAAGATATAGTGGCGTTTAAGAAACATATAGAATATTTCAAGAAGCTACTTGGCTTCACCCAAGCTTCTGACAACCCCAGTTAAAGGCACTATTGAAGACAAAAATCTTCAGTGCTTGCCTAAATATATGTACAGTTGGGACAAGGCCCAAATCCACAGGGATTTCCACAGTTTTGGGCCACTGCTGAGAAGGCCATTCTCTTGTGTAGACCAACCTAACCCATATTACTGGTGGACACGGCAGAAGGAGCCCTGAAGCAGGTCTTGGTGTACAAGCAGAGTTATGTGGGTGAAGATGGTCCTGCAAATATCCAGATCTCAAGCCATTTAGTGCTTTAAAGGTTGGGCCCAGAAGCTCACAGACACCTAATGGAGCTGGCACAAAACTGGAGCTATGCTTTCCGTCTTCCTGCCTGTGCTTCCAGCATCCAGCCACTTGCACTTTCTGAACCATCCATACTCAGAGGGAGCCCCACATAAAGCATGCAGGTAAAAGTGCAGGGGTCCAACTGCTCCATACAGGCCTGATGAAGGGACTTTTGAATCTGCCTTTTGAATCGGAGGGAGATGGGAAGCTTTAAGGTGCATCATGATGTAGCACCCTGCTTGTGGTTAACGCTTAGCTGGAATGAAATATTCAACGCAGCAATAGAGAAATTAAAATAATAATTTATTTCTCAGACAAATAAATGAGAGACACAGTGGTATATGGTTACCAAAGCTCTGCCCACTCCAGCCCTGATGGCCAGCACTTATATTTCCTCAGCCCAGCCCCCTTGCTCCTCCTTTGGCTGCCTCTGTCCAATCAGCCTGGTTGAAATTCCTATTGGCTGTTTGCTAGAACCAATCATAAAAGATACACCCATTTCCTATTACCTTTTATGGGAGACAAAGAGCTCTATTTCCTTCTATCCATAAATGGCAGACAAGTAGCCATATATCTTACATTTGCCTCGACAAGGCACCTTAATTACCAGATAACCTTTTTGCCCTATTGCCCTATTACCCTATTGCCCCTTCACTCCAAAACAGATGGCTAAAACAGATGGCTCATGGTAACAGAGATCTTGGGTTCACCTTCTCACACACCATCAATGAAATAAGAATCTAACATAAGAATCTAACATTTCTTACTTTCTAAATCCTTTGCATAATTACATTTAAGCCAATATATTTCATACATTAACATATATAGCTTTTTAGAAGGAAAGGAACTTAGTAAAAACAGTTTCCAAAAGCAACCCCTTAAATTTACACCCCCCTTTCTAGCCAGCTGCTGTTCCCATTAGCTCTTGCCCTTTAACCTTAGGAAAATATGACTCGAGTCTTCTGTTAAACAATAAAACTTACTATTTACCAACTCTTAATTAGTGTTTTTGCAGCTTGATTGTATTCTGTAATTTGTATGGTCAGTATGACCTTTTGCTCCCAGCCTGTAATTTCCTTTTACAACCCTGAGGCACTGCAATAGATCAGAGGGGCCCTGTTTAGGAAGATAAACATCTGCCAAAGTACTTAGCCAGCTGGTTTCTGCCTGGTATGAAAGATACAAACATTTACAAATATATTTTTTAAGCTCATTTTAAAATACAGGTCTTGATCAGATGCCTCAATGACATTCTTGTTTCTGCAGAAACAGACTAACAGAGACATCCTTCTGGAAACTGTGTACAGAAGATTACTCACCAAAATAAAAATGTAACTGAAATGTGTGAAATATGTCAAAGTTCCCAATTTCCACCAGACATCGCTTTTATGCCTTGTAGTAATTTAGATAGTAAGTGATCATCTTGGTAGCGTTTGTCCCTAAATGTGTTTAGGCACAAGCATGTGGAAGCAGAAACTTTGATACTTCCATACCACATGTGAACAAACATAATTTCATTCCTTGCAGCTGTTTTATAATTTGCTGAATAACAGAACTGAAATCCCTTGAATCTAGTACAGCATTAGCTCACACTCTCTGGGGGGCAGGATTGAATTTTGAGGTCCCCTGAAGCACTTGGCAACACCTGTCAGAGAACCGGAAGGAATATCTCAGTTTTTCCAGGAGTAATGTTATTTGGTTTTTGCTGCCAGCTGTGAACCCTTCTGAACACACTGTATATTGCAATGGTGTCTTTTGATGTCCTTCATGTGTTTTATGGCCCAGCAGAACAAATGTACTCTGTGGATTCCAAGCCCTGCAAAGAATTCTCCACATCAATGCAGATAAGATTGTATCTTACTGAGCACTGAGAGGCAGCTGGTGACTTTTTGAGCTGGTGTCTGCAATAAAAAACAAAACCACTCCCTTTCCTACACTGTGACTTATATAACGTTTATGAAGGAAAGGGTATCATGAACATGTGCAGAGTGCCGCGGTCTACCCGCTGAGAAACATCTACTGGTGAGGACTTCTGGCTGGAGGAATGGCGAACTAAGATGTTGTCTGCTGGCAGTGATGAGAGATGGTCAGGATAGAAATCTGACTACCTAACTCCCCTTTGGACGAGGGGAGTCAAAGGGCAAAATCTCAGATGCTCTGAAGAAGACATTTGTCATTGTGTCAGGGAAAAGATAAATTTCCAGGAAGGTGAAAATACCTTCTCAAACACTGCTTAATTGATCTTAAACTAGAGCTTCAGGTGGGCTCCCTCCTTCTCTGAGGAAGTGGCAAGCTCTCCCAGGTGAGAGCTGGGAGGAATCGCTTCTCTGTGTGTGGATTGAAAATTAAGATATAACAGAGGGATATCTCTATCTCTATCTCTCAGTCATCTATCTATATATTGACTTCCAACTGGCTGCAGGAGCATGATTCAGAGCAGGCCCCTTTCTCCCCGCCCCCAAGATGGCCTTTGATTCACACTTCCACCACCAGAGAAGGATGATTTGATTCCTTCCCTTGTTCCTGATGTAGATCTTCACTCAGCCCTTCTTCTCTGGTGGGGGAGGCACTGTGTTGTAGTTCATCTCAGGTGCAAAAATGTCTTGCACTGGCTCTGCATACCACTCACCATTCTTGGATTCATGTATTTAAATTCTCCAAGAACAAGGTTCTGCCTTATGCGTATTCCTCCCTCAAAACAAAAGTTACTTCTTTCCCTAATATGGGATAAACTTATTATGTCAGCTGTATGGGCAAAGCTAATTCTTTAATTGTAGCCACAACTCAGTTACTTAGCATTAGAACTTACTTGCAGCGCCACGACATTGGCAAGAACTGGCAGCAGCTCCTTGTCTATTGCAAAGTCTAATCCCCCCCCCCAATGCTTTTGGGAAAGTATTTTGCACAAAAGCTTTTCTACTCAAACCTTCTAAATTCTTCCTGAAAACAAAAGGAGGGCATAACAAGAGAGGTGCTTTGAACTCTCGCCTTTGTTTAGCTACCATAATTTAAATGTGGCTGCATTACATGAAATTCAATCAAGTAATGTCAGAGTTGGTATCCAGTTGCTTAAGATTGTCAGGTACATTGCCAGAATTACTTTGCTGGTAGTAACCCTTCTGAGCAGCTGAATAGTCTGTTTTCAGTTGTGGAAGTAATTTATTTTAGAAGCAGCATAAGAAAGCTCTTAATGTGTTTATGTTATTCTCGTAATGTTATTCTCTAGATAAAGCACTCAGACATGACCCCCCCCACCCATATGCTGTCTGTCAAAGGATGCAGAATTCTTGCAACTGCAAGTCTTCTGTGAAATACAGCAAAAATCTACGGAAATGTGCAAAAGGTGTAATCTCACATGCAGTTAGGCTGTTAAATCCCATTTATTATTACTATTATTCTTATTATTGTTTAAACTCACATACCGCTGTTCATCCAAAGATCACGGGATGGTTTACAGTATATAAACTCAAAATACATAGCATGACAACTGGCTACACCAAGGCTTGCCTATCCACACTCCCCTCTGGGCCAGAAAAGGGCTCTGGCCTCAGCCTTCAGCAACGAATTCCTCAGTGAAACTTGAGACCCCTTGGCACATAGATTGTAGTTTCTCTGCTCTTTTTCACAGATTCCCTCCTACTACAAATACCTTTTGCATTTCTCTGTCCATGAAAAGTTGTGAAATAAATCTAGGTGCACCACAGCTGATAACAGTTCCAACTTTTTTCTGTATTGATTTTTTAATGTTGTGTTTCAGTATAAATTTCCCCAAGTGATCTATTGTGTTTTATCTTCAGCTGTTTTTTTTAAAGTTGGTCATGATCTCATTTGAAACTTTTTTGAACTGAATGAAATGCAGGATCAGTTTTGTTGGTTCCTTATACAAAGATGGATGCCACACATTCCACTTGAATTCTGATGCATTTTCAGAGGTTGTAGAATAGACTCTGCAAGTGTCCCATCTTGAAATATGTTCTGCTGGTCTCTCTCTACTGCACTTGGTGTGACATAAGCATATTGCCTTTTCTCACAAGGAAGGTTCCCAATAGATACAGGTATGTCCAACTTCAAGTCAGGTGTCATCTACTATCCAGTGTCAAAAACTGGCAGTGATCGACCACACTCTCCCATTGTCATTCTTCAACTGAAGTATATTATATTTGGCTGAGCTTAGGATAAAAATAATAACAAATGATAGTCGCTTCCACAAAACCTGAAGTGTTCATCGTAAATCAATATAAAACTTCTATGGCCTAGGGAAATTCCCCCCTTTTTCTGACAAATGCCAAAGAAAGCACTCTTTGTTTCTCCATGTGGTGGGCCTATTGCAGGCGGGTCCTTCCATTCCTCCTCCAAGACGCTGGCAGCTCACGAAGACCCGCTTCGCAGAGGACTCTGTGTCTGCAGGTCTCTCTCAAGGTCCGTTCCCCCCGAGATCCTCAGGATGGTGGGTTTCCCCCAGACTCGCTTGGTGGATCCAGAGTGAGCCGCTTCCTCCTCCCTCGTAATTCTTGGCCGGGCCCCTCCAACCCCGCGGCGGAGGAGGCAGCGAGGGAGCCGCGCCGATGATGTTCGCAAGGAGAAGGGGACGACAGAGGACGAGATGGTTGGATAGTGTTCTCAAAGCTACAAACATGAGTCTGACCAAACTGCGGCAGTGGAAGACAGGAGTGCCTGGCGTGCTCTAGTCCATGGGGTCACGAAGAGGCGGACACGACTAAACAACTAAACAACAACAACAAATAGATGTGTGTGTGTAATCTTAATTATATCATTGTTTCATGGGTTTTTTAAATGATTTTTTCCTATGTTTTGAGTTGTTCTTGTTTTTATATGTAAGTAGGGTTGGCATATGTCTGGTTTTCCCCAGACATGTTCTCTTTCTTAGGGTTTGAATTTCTGTCTAGGCGGATTTTTACAATTTGGCAAGATGTCCAGGTTTTGTTGTTGTTGTTGTTGTTGTTGTTGTTTTGTACCATTTCTATCATAGTTAGGGACTGAGAGGAGGAAAGAGGCAGGGGCAGGTAGCAAAGCGGAGCAGCAACAGGGCTTTCCAGTGCTCCCACTCGGGCGCAGGAGGAGGAAGGCACCAGGCAGCAGCAGCAGCAGCAGCAGCACAGCGAGTTCCCTCCTCAGCCCTTTACTGTGAAATGAAACCATAACAAGCCACCTCTGGCCCCAAGGGGCAAATGGGAATGACCTGGCAAATTTCGCAGGGAAAGCGCCAGCGGAGAGTGAGAGGCGTGGCGGCCGGGCAGGTGCTGGCTGGGCAAGTGGGCAGGCATCTGAGGGGCGCCCTCGGGCTGCTGTGGTGAGTGGCTGTGCCAGCTGTGAGGGAGATGGACGAGTGGGGGTGGCACGCGTGGAGTGGCTCCCAGCACTTTTTCCAGCGATAAAACTGCTAGCACATTTGCAAAGCTAAGGAGGGTTTGCTGCGGTTTCAAGCGGGATGGGGACCGTGCCTTGAGATTGCTGCATTGCAGCGGGTTGGACTAGGTGATTCTTGGGCCCCTTCCAACTCTATGATTCCGTGATGATATAGATCGATAGATAGATAGATGATAGATAGATAGAGGGTGTACCAACATACTCTATTTAATACAACAAATACTAATATGAATAAAATAGAATGTTTAGTCTCTTATTGTCCTTGAGATTAATCAATTAAATTAATGAGCCAACATGGAATGTGTGGTCCAAACAAAACAACAAAATCTTTCTGGCTTGATTTTCCTGCTGTGAAAGCTATTTTTTCTTTGTTAATTTGGAGCTGAATGACAGAAAGCCACATTCTTCATAACTAACGAGATTATTTTAAAGCACTTTATCATACTAAAACACGTACAAGAAGCCATCCCATATTTATAAACATAATCCAGTAATTCATAACAGCATTTAATTGCTCTCATAATAGAAATTTGTAACATTCATGGAAACAAATTTGCTTACAATGAATGTTGATTAAATCTTCAGAGCTAGGGTGGCGGATAGCAGATAGAGTATTAGACTTGGACTCAGGAGACCTCGGTTCAAATAGTTGCTCAGGCATGAAGTTCACTGATTAATTTTGGTTCTTGTCTCTCAGCCTTGCAAGGTTGTTATGAGATAAGGCCACATAACACACCTGAGGAAGGGTAGCAGGCAAACATGATGGTAATATTTTATCATGCCAACAAATGTGGCAAGCCACACTCTGGACCTTGTTTTCTCAACTGGCAGGAAAAGGGTATCTGAAAGTGGGGGATGTTGATCTCACCCTCTTGTCATGCTCAGATCACTTCCTGTTGAGATTTAGGCTTTCAACACCTTTCCCCCTCCGCAGAGGTGGGGGACCTGTGAGGATGGTCTGCCCTTGGAGGCTGATGGATACAATGGTTTTCCAAATGGCTCTGGGGGATTTCCCAGCTGATAGGACTGGCACTTCTGTCAAAACCCTCGCTGACCTCTGGAGCATCCAAATGGCTAAGGAGGGGGGGATTCTTGATTTTTAAAAAATATATATTATTATTATTTTGTGTGTGTGTGTGTGTGTGTACATGGGTGGCGCTGTGAGGGACACGGGTGGCGCTGTGGTCTAAACCACTGAGCCTCTTGGGCTTGCTGATCAGAAGGTCGGCGGTTCAAATCCCCGCGACGGGTAAGTTCCCGTTGTTCGGTCCCTGCTCCTGCCAACCTAGCAGTGTGAAAGCACGTCAAAGTGCAAGTAGATAAACAGGTAGGAAGGTAAACAGCGTTTCCGTGCGCTGCTCTGGTTTTGCCAGAAGCGGCTTAGTCATGCTGGCCACATAACCCGGGAAAACTGTCTGTGGACAAATATCGGCTCCCTCACCCAGTAAAGTGAGATGAGCGCTGTAACCCCAGAGTCATTCATGACTGGACTTAACTGTCAGGGGTCCTTTACCTTTACCTTTTTTTGTGTTGTGAACTGCTCTGAGACCTACGGGTGTATGGCGGTATACAAATTTAATGAATAATAAATATTTTCCCTGCCAAAGCACATTGTTTTCATATTGTTCATCATCAAGACCTTTGCTTTGTGTAAACTGGTGAACAAGATTTACTTTTTCTTTAGTATTTATTTCTTACTATCAGACTACTCTAGGCAGCTGACTCCAGTAGAATGTGGGGAGGGAGAGAATGGAGAGAAATAACTTTTTCTACAGCATCATCTGAGAAAAGGAAGCGAGAAAAGTCAAGAGAGGGAGCACCAGCAGGAGGAAGCATGCCAAGATTTCAGTGCCCACACCTTGGTGTGTCACAGCAAGCAAAGGGACTGGGCCATTGCAGCCCTGCCAACGCTTGTGCCTTCAGCAGGCCCATTCTCATCTCTTCCATGCCTTCTATTCTTTATTTAGTTAAACATTGCCATGCCTCATGGCTTCCCTGGGCCTGTTGGCTGCAAGTCCCTGCCTCCTTCCCTAGGCTCCTGTCTTGTCCATTTCCCTTCCTGCTTCCTTCTGCCTATTCTGTCTCTCGCAGGTTCAGAGTAGCGCAGGTAATGGTACACAGCCTGTGTACAAGAACACGAGTCGCACCCTCTTCCCACACAAAGGCTTCATTCTCATTCCTGCAAACTGCTCAGCTCAGAAGAACAGGCTGTAAAGAAGGAACTGGGCTGGCTTAGCACAGCTTAAATCCATGCTGGCTGCTCATAGTAAGAATGCCCACTCTGGTGAAAGCCATGTCTAGAAGCCTGTGGGCCCTGGTGCGTGGGAACATCAGTCACCATGCATCACGTCCTCAGGGCAGCGCTCATGGTCAAGTAGCGATTAATACTTGGAAGGTCTACCGTAGGGACAGAGCCTCCAGGTCCACATTTGCTTCCTGGATCTCCAGCGGAAGTTGTGAAAGGGCCTGCCTTGCTCTGCACTTTGCTGTAGTGACCCCCCCACAAGTGTTTCAAGATGAAACCGTTCCAGCACAAAGTGAATATAACGAATTGAAAAAGGTATTTAAATATACCTTCTTGAAGAAACCAGAGGCCTTTCTCCTGGGCATAGTCGGCCAATTGGTGCCAAAGAAGGATAGAACTTTCTTTATGTACGCCACAACAGCAGCAAGAATACTTATTGCAAAGTATTGGAAGACACAAGACTTACCCACTCTGGAAGAATGGCAGATGAAGGTGATGGACTATATGGAATTGGCGGAAATGACTGGCAGAATCCGAGACCAGGGAGAAGAGTCGGTGGAAGAAGATTGGAAGAAATTCAAAGACTATTTACAGAAATACTGCAAAATCAATGAATGTTAGAATGATGTTGGATTGAAGTTAAGTGGTTTCTAGCTGTAATGGTATAAAAGAATATGAAAAAATGGATTTTTAACAGGTAAAAATTTAATGTTATAATATATTTAAGATTAAAGATCAGGATGAATTAAGGAGGGAAAGGAACTGCTGAACTAACAAATTGAACTGGAATACAAAAAAGGGAGGTATGAGGAGGTCCGGGAAACAAGTAAATGAAAGATAAATGATAGAAAGATTGAATTGTTTTTAATTATTTTTATTTTGTATTTTTTCTTCTTTTTCTTTTTTCATTATGTAATATTGTGAAAATCTTAATAAATATTTATAAAAAAATAAAATAAAAGTCAAAGATAGGCCTTGAGGGAATTCCCACCTAAAAATGGTTCTATTTGCTCTTAGCAGGGCCACCAAGTCTCCGTAGTTGGACCTGAGATCCAAAAGATGTTTAGGGATATCCTTAAATATCTCCACTCTTGATTCCTTTATTTCCAAGGTCTTCTGGAAGTGCAAGCTCAATATTCTGTCTCTCTCCTCTCTTGATCGGAGGGTAATCAAACAGTCTCTCACCCTGTTCTTTCTCCCCCCCTCTTCCAAGTCTGAAAGCACTTACTATCTTGAAGTCTAACTTGTCTGGGTCTAAGTCCCAAAAGTCTGTAAATTCCTGCGTAAGAAAATCACTCAAGTTGTCTTTCTCAAGTTCAGGTACCGCCCTGATCCTTAGATTTATCTGTTTTTCTTTTAATTCGATCATAGACAGCAATGACTTATGATCCTCCAACTGCCTACATATCGGTGGTATCTTTTCCTCTATCTTTTCCTCCACAGCCAATGCTTTTTGCTTAGCTTCTTCAGCTATTTTTCGATTCGAAGTAGATTCCTGCAGCAGTTTCTCAATAGATTCTGTATTTGAGTTCACCTTCTGCCCCAAGTTATTGATGCTTGTGGTGTTTTGATCAATTTTAGTTGTCGCTTCAGCCACTTGTTTGCTCAACTTTTCCAAAGATTCAAAAATTTTATCTAAAGCTGAAGCTAAGTCCCCTTCAACTGCCATTCCTTTAGACGCCACCTGGGCTGAATCTTCCCCTGGTGGGGCAGGGAGGCCGGGTGCTGACGGTCTACGCTGCTGCAGTCTAATTTTACCAGATCTTGTTGTTTTTTCCTGAGTCAAGTCTGCCATACCACTTTATCTAAGGATCAAGGTCAGTCCCACGATTACTTGTTTGTGGTGGAAAATTCCCCTTTAGTATGGCCAGTTTAGAGTGGAAAATTCCCTGGCCAATTGTAGCAATTTCAAAGTTCCTCTAGGGGGACACAATAGCAGTTCCAATTTGTAACAATAAAATAGCTATTCCAACTTTCAAAAAAAAAACCCTTTAGCCAAAAAGAGCAACAGTTTCAAGTCAAGTGGAACTTTTCAGAACCAAAGTATCCCTCTTACAGAGCTAGCTGTCAAAAAGTTGCACTATCCTTTGACAGCGCGTTTCCCAATACGGCAGTTTCAATGTCCCTTGACAGTCTGTTCCCAGGCATTAAGTGATGGTCTTAGTTCCCTTTCTCTCTTCTTTTGCGGGCAAAAGATACTTCCCCTTCTCCCTCCCCTCTCCCGCACCACAGGGAGGGAGTTCTCTTTTTATTGATGTAAGATTTGAGTCTTTTTCAACGCAAATTTCAGGCTCTTTGCTTTGACAGTCTTTGCTTTGATCTATTTACATAAAAGGAAGGCGGACTTCCTGTTTACACCTTCCCGCTTCAGTGCCGAATTAATCCTTTTTTTCCTTAAGTTCCCCGATCTTCAGACTTAACCTCACGGGTAGTTGTTTCTTAGCCGAATTGTCACAGGAAAAGGTCGGCGCTCTCCGGCAACAGCTGCGCGGCTTCACTCCACGGAAGAAGCAGTTGACTCTCAGCACCGCGCCAGACTCCCCGCTTCGCTCCGGAACTCTTTCCAGGGTTCCCTCGCAGATTGGGGAGGCGCTAAAGGTGCCCGCCGAGTCCCACGGTCACAGGCTTCACCCGCCTGTGATTTTCGAAGGGGTCCTCGCTTTGCCGTAGCGGCAAGACCCGATTTCCGCGGAGCTACTCCCTCAAGACTAGAGGGAATCCGCCATTGCCGATGGCGCCGCCTCCGGAAGTCTCCAGCAGCTAATAAGTTTAACCAGCAGTGTGAATGCATGGTGCCAGGAGAGGTTAAAGAGGGAGGAAAATGGTGCCCAGAGGGGATGGGACACACATTTAATATGGCAAGCAAATAAAAAAGCATTGAACAGCTTCAGAATAATGCAAATTTTTAATGAGGTTAGGGTTTCTTGGGGGAGGTGGTGACAACTGATATTAGAGAATATTTTGTGTACCCCTAGTAATAATATTCCTGCATTTTGTTTAGTGCTATGGAGGAAATCTTTCGTTCATCATTGACATTAGACTGTAACTCCAACATCTGTTGCTGCTGTCAGGGACTGGGCAGAGGAGGAATGGTGTATTTTAGCATTGTTATTATTTGTGTATTGTTAAGCAACAGTTTCACGTTTTAAAGTTCCACGTCTGAGCATTTTTGGCTTTTTGTCCTGCAGACTTCCTTGCTGGATCAAGCCTTCCCTTGGGCCAGGGCATGCCTCTTTCCCACACTGTGTCATCTTCAGGGCAGGATGCCGTTTGCCACCCCTCAACCTGCCTCCTGGGCACCTGCCCCTCTCAGCCGCCTCAATCGGGGCCTGAATTGGCCTGACAAAAGTGGAATTATTAGGAAGCACATGCCTGCCTAATGTGCCACTTTAGCTAAGCAGTTTTGAGGGCAAACTTGCATCTGAACCTACTTGTTGTACAAGAGACTGGAATGTAGTGAAGGGTTTTTTTTCTGCTGGAGACACAAAATGACAAGAGCTTAGAATTCAATTTATTCTGAATTGAGTAGAACAGTGTGGCTCCAAGGGAAGCATAGATGGGTCTCATCATGCTTCCACTGAAGACCACAGTAACCTTTCAGTAGGCAGAAAGTGAGAAATATGAGTGGGCCATGGCATTCAAGATGTAAATTTTGAATTGGAGACTATAATGTACGTTGATCCTAAAATAAATGTCAAGTTGTTCCTGATTGTATATGAAAGTTTTAAGCTTTTGACAGATGCAAGAAGTGATAACCTTAGTGGGTCATGCAGAGAAAAGGGAGGGGAAGTGTTTTTACAAAGTGAGGTCAAGCAATGCAAGCTAAAATATGTCGCATCACAATGCAGAGCGCAGCGCTGCAAATGCAGGGCTAACAACATTTATCCTTTTTGAACAGATGTTGCCAGGTGAAAAATGCATTCCACAGAGGGCCTCCTTTTTTGGCTGCTGTCTCAGTCCACATGTGTGATCAGCAGGGGGAAATAGAATTAGAAAAGGAGATGCAAGCCCATGGTGACCTTGGCTCTAGGGTGAAGGCCCCATGAGATGTGATGGGCAGCTCAGGAATTCTTCCACCTAGCTCTGGTTTTTATCAACGAAAAGCGAGCACGCAGGAACTTGAAGTCAGGCATGGAGATTTAGTGTGGGAGGAAGAGCTGCTCAGTCTTTTCTCTTCCTGCCATTTTCCCACTCAAAAATGTTCCAGATATATCTGCCCACCATTGCGCAAACACACACTGGGAGGGCTGATCTTCTGTCTTGCTTCTTCCATTCACCTGGAGGCAGGCTACTGGTAACCCAAATTCATGCCCTCATTTCTCTCACTGTATCCTTAGATGATGGTGGAACCAAAATTACATGAGTTTATCAAATGTTGTGATCCACAGCTAATGCCTGGTTCATCCCAGCCACTGCCTAAACATGAAATGTGTGACTGGATTCTAATCCTGTGGAATTACCAGATCTGGCACTTCAGGGTACTTTGGTACCTGAGACGGACCCCAAAATGGTGCCCCACTGCCCTCCAGGAAAGATGGGGTGAGAGAAGAACTACATCAGGAACAAGGAGGGGAGAGAAATATCTATATCAAGATCTGCTGCCCCTGTAGATCCTGCCACCTGAGGCAGTCGCCTCCCCTTCCCTCATGGGTCGGCATTACCTAATGGTGAGAGCTTTCATCACCACAGGGTTGCCTGACCAGATGCAAACAATGTAGCTCATGCTGATTAACACTCTTATGAAGCTGTTGAGAGCTACTACCAGGGCCTTTACGGCACAATCTTGCGATACGCAGGTGACACCCAGCTCTATTTCCCCCTGTCATCTGGATCAGCTGAAATCACGCAAGTGTGGGGTCATTGCTTGGAGATTGGATGTGGGCCCATTACTAAATCTGAATCTCAGTAAGATGGAAGTGCCATTGGATAGTGGTTCTCAGGTTTGGGATTGCAGTTCTCCCAGAGGAAGCAGGTGCAGAGATTTGGGGTACTTCTGAATCCAGTCTTGTCACTGGATTCTCAAGTTGCATTATGGAGTGCCTAGTCAGTGCTTCTCATACTTGAGTCCCCAGCTGCTGTTGGACTGCAGTGCCCATCACCTCTGATGACTAGACCTGCTAGCCAGGAATGATGGGAGTTGCAGTCCAACAACAGCTGGGGACCCAAGTTTGAGAAACACTGGTAGATCCATAAGTATTTTTATACCATTTTATCCATTGTTATGTGTGTATGTTTGTGTTCTGGTTACATAAAAGAAACCTGGATTGTATATGCAGACAATATTATTTATATATAATAATGCGCACAACATGTGAGGATTGTGTGTAGTTTTAGCAGAACTGGTTAAAAAAGGAATTAGATGGGAATTAGAAAGAAAATCTACACAGATAAGCTTGACACTGAGATTTTCAGGCAAGTCATCCCTACTTAGAGCCAAATTCTGTGCCCAATATAATATTTTGCACTCTTGCAGAACTGCAACAGGCATGCAGCCTTGAATACAGCATAACTATTAAATGTGCCAGCACTAACCGCAGCAGACTTAAGCATCAAACTACACTAGATTAGGCATTTAGGTTTTTAATGTAACTTGCTTTAAAGCTTGCCTATATCCCAACAGGATTCTAAATCCGTTTGTGTCTGTAACAAGACAGATTGGTACTAGAACTGGCGCACTTAGCCAACAGTGCAAAAACAACACAAAAGGAAAAAGAACTCTAAGCCTGCCACATTTCACAGAGTATATGTCTTCAAGACTAATTAGAAATTCTTTATTAAAGCATCTCCTCTGTCTCCTTAAGGGAAATTTATAACTGCCATTAATGAACACGGCTAGAATTTGGAAAGGGCCCACACAATTACATTGCTGAGCTCACCACAACCATTTAAAGAGTCATTGAGGAGGTAAATTTACAAAGGCTGTAGAAATTCACCAAATTAACTCTTCCTAAAGGAATAAATCTGCTGCCTGAAAGAATGTTTAATTCTTTCTGCAATGCACATATGAAAATTTACAGAGGAGGCAAAGTCCTCTTTAGCAAATTAAGACGCTGTCCATCATATGAAGCATAAGGTTGTCTACTGTGATGGTAAGACATAATTCTGAATAAAATGACACTGGAGTGTCCCATTTCCTTGCATATGCACAGTACAGTCATGTGCACAGCAGGATTCACAACATGTTGTTGTATTAATTATGTACCAAAGATGGTAAAAATGAAAAGGATGGCAAAGTTAGTTGTGTCTTTCTTGGTATGTTAGAATATACAGTACGATGAATGAGTCAGGAAAAGTAACTAAGGGGGAAACAGCTCTGAGTGACTTTCAAGGATGACTTTCCGTTCAGGTAGTGCCACTTTATGAAGAGGAACACAAACAACTCTGTGTAATCAGGTGGTTTCTTGTGAACACATGCATTGCCTCTAGGACAAGGAAGGGGGGCCTGTGGGATATTTACTGAGACCTTTCAGGGACACCATAAATGTACTCATGGACAGGCTGATGCCCACAGACACCATTTTGGCAACCCCTGTCGCAGTCGGTGACTTACAGCATGCAAAAGTCTACGTGCTACAAACCAGTTTCCCTTTTCTTTCAGGCTGCATATAGCTGCCCTGAGAGATGGTGACTGACTCCAGAACACTTGCTGAGCTTCATGGCCAAGGAGGAATTAGAAGTTGGGTATCCCCAGGTGCAATCCTATACAGTGGTACCTCGGGTTACAGACTCTTCAGGTTACAGACTTCGCTAACCCGGAAGTAGTACCTCGGGTTAAGAACTTTGCTTCAGGATGAGAACAGAAATTGGGCGGCGGCAGAGGGAGGCCCCATTAGCTAAAGTGGTGCTTCAGGTTAAGAACAGTTTCAGGTTAAGAACAGACCTCCAGAACAAATTAAGTTCTTAACCCGAGGTACCACTGTATATGTACACTCCTATACATGTTTACTCAGAAGGAAGCCCTATTGAGCTCAAATGGGGCCTACTCCCAAGTAAACTAAACTCTATCCCGGGAGTATGCGGCCCTCAAAATGTCTGGACACTACAACTCCCAGCATTTCTGGCGACTGACCATGGTGCGTGAAGCCGAGAGGAGGCAACATCTGGGGAGCCAAAAGCTCTCTCTCCCGGCTTCACCCACCAATGCACAATGACTCTGTTTTTTCACTCATGGGTGCAATCCTGTGCACAATTATTGGGAAGTAAATCCCAATGAGTTTAGTAGAACTTTGTTTGAATGAATTCTAGGCTGTATTCCCAAAGTCTTTTTGTCTTCTTTTTTAAAAGAAGTGGATTGTCAGGAGTCAGTGATACTGGACGGGCTTGGGGCTGGGGGAGCCCAATATTCCCACATTTACTTAATCAAGTAGAAATGCCCACATAGTCCTGTGATTAAACTATTGATGCTTCTTTGCCGTTCTTTCCGTGTTTACACAGACTCAGCAGAAGGTACTAGGAAGCACCACAACAGATAAACTTTTGTGGAGCTGCTTTGTCATACAGGAAAGGATTACCCTGACTCTCCACTATATTCGATTTTCATAAACCCACTCAAGCATCTTGCCACAGTTTCTGAACATGTTTACAATCCATAATTCCTTGATAAAATGGATGCTTCTGGTTCCTCTCATTACTGAATGTGGTTAAGTCAGGATAGAACTGAAGCTAGTCAGGGTAGTCACACTTTGGGCTTCAGGCGTTTGAATTGTTTACTATAACAATTTAATATGCAGGACAGTAACTAAGCAGATGCATAAGAGCAAACAGTCAAATCTATCAGTCTAAATATATTTAGCAGAAGCTTTGTAGCATGTGATTGGGTCTATTCCAAGGGTCAGCAACCTTTTTCAGCCGTGGGCCGGTCCACCGTCCCTCAGACCATGTGGGGGGCTGGACTATATTGGGTGGGGATGAATGAATTCCTGTGCCCCACAAATAACCCAGAGGTGCATTTTAAATAAAAGGACACATTCTACTCATGTAAAAACACCAGGCAGGCCCCACAAATAACCCAGAGGTGCATTTTAAATAAAAGGACACATTCTACTCATGTAAAAACACACTGATTCCCGGACAGTCTGTGGGCCGGATTGAGAAGGCCCCCTGGGCCTTAGGTTGGCTACCCCTGGTCTATTCTATTCAAGGCTGGAGCTAGGGGGGAAACCAATGAGAGCAACTGGCTCCAATAAACAACTTAAATTTTCTTAAATTGCATAGCAAGCATAATCAGTCAAAACTTTAACAAAAGAGAAAATAACACTATAAAATCTAAGCCATAACCAAATGAACAGAATCAGAAACAAAAATACCAAGAGGCTTCTATGTGCAGATGGCACAGAAAATGTCCTAATGAATGCAGAGATGCTCTATGTAATTCAATAAAAAGAGAAAACAAACATTAAACAAATCCATATATTAGAGCATACCTTAAGGACTTTCCTGTTGTGTGAAATATTTGTATAAGCAATAAAGCTGCACCAATCACTTAAAGTTATGTTTTCACAGCTTTCACAGCTTTCACAGCTTTAAAGAATGGAAGCTTCCTTCTAGAATAAAAAAGCTACTGGTTTTTTTGTTTTTAAATAAAAAATGTCTCTTTAGCTCCCATGACTGAGAGCATGGCAGGGGGTTTCAAGAGGGCAAGTGTCAGGGCCGCCTCAAGTCTCAGCTCACAAAAGACCAACGCCTATGTCTTCTTATATACAAAAGTGTTTATTGCAGTTCATTGTTTGCTTAACATCCTAGGCGCGCAGCCCTACGTCTGCTACGCTTAGACCGCTGAAGTCCCCTCTGAATCCGTCCCTCCCCTGCACCAATTTAAGAGGCTTGCGCTGCTCCACCTCTTTCTCTCCTTCCTTTTCCGCAGGGTCCTTCTGCCCGCTGGGGTTTCGCCCCTCCTGGATTCCTCTGACGCGGAATCAGACTGCTCTTCCCCCCTCCTGCGGGCTTTGGGACCTGGCCCCTCCTCCGGGCTCCCTGTACTTCCGCGCGCCTCTACATTTGAACTTGGCGCGCACGCCAAACCTCTAACTTTCCTCTTGACAGTTACACTACTCCCTTCACTGCTCCCCTCCCCTTCCGGGAGGGCGGCTTGCTCTGACCCCCCTCCTTTCTCTGCTGCTGGAGCTGCTTCCTCTGACACACTGGAAACTCCACCCCTCGCTGCACTCTGGTGGGGAGGCTGGTCCTGACGCCCAGCTGCCACTTTGGGATCCTCCGCTGGCCCCCTGCTCCTGACGCGTCCCCCTGGGGCTCCCTGGCCTTGACCACCGGCGCCCCCTTCTGGGAATCCTCTGATTCGCTGGAAAGACTCATGGAATCTCTTGAGTCATTGTCATCCTCTTCCTCGCTGGCTTGGGATTCATCCCCATCGCTCTCCATCTCCTGCCTACCCTGTGCCTCTCTCCCTGAACCCCTGACAGCAAGTGTTAACTTAAGCCAAGGATAGCAAACTTCTGTCTGGGGTGGTGATTCTGCTTGTAGCTTCAGAACTTGTATCCCTGGGCTTTTCTGGCAGGAAAGGACACGAGAGTTTTGATCTGGTCTGTGACCCTTGCAGGAAAAAGACCAGCAAGTCTGTTATATGAAAAGCCTGTGCATATCTTTAAAAGAAAAATATCTATTTAAAAGCCACGTGTTTTCTACAGATATACACTGGAATATTTTGGAACTAGTAATATTTTAGAGCTACTAATTTATAAGGTTGTCAAAGGTGGTTCCTGGTCCTTCCGATGCTTAGCAGTTTCCAGAAGCTACAAAGTGCAGCACTTGCCATGCTTGTTGAACACTTTTAAGTAAAAGGCGCCTGGAAGTATTAGTACATGGCGCCCCTTCCTGGGTAATTGCACAGCGAAGAAGAGGGCTGTGCCCACAGACCTATGGGAACAGCCAGCCAGGCATGTTTTCTCCTCATCCAAGGAGACTGTACTGGTCACCACAGTTCAAGACCAGCACTCTACCAACTACAGCAGCTGGAAGGTTTCTGAGAAATTGCCATGAAGTAGTACTATGCTTTTTCACAATTTAAAATAAATGTTCATTTCAACACAAATGTATTGAGAGTGCTGAAAAGGAAAGCTTAAACAGTTTTCTTACCATTATAATTTGCATTGTGAACAGAAGCCCAGAGTGGACAAATAATTGTCTATGAGAATATGGTGCAGATCTA